TCTAGTATTAGGAAATACAGAGGCTAACAGAGTGGGAGTAACTTCTGTGGAGATAATAAGGTAGAAGAGAGATTTTAAAGAACTAAGAAAAATACCTTATGTGGCAGTCCTGGAGGCAAGTAGATCTAATTCAGAAAAGCATTAAAATATGCAGTCTAATTAACCTACTGTATTATTTTCTTTCTTAAGTTGCTTGGATGTTTTAGTAGTTTGGTTTTTGTCTCACAGGCTGTACACCAAGAGCTATGATTTTTAGTTTTAAAATGTTTTGTATTATGTAAAGCAGCCATCGAAGAAACTGATTTGGTTGGTTTTTGTAGTAAAAAGGGAACTTTGAACTTTTCCCATATGAAACATGATTTCCATTAATGTATCTCTTTTTAAGCAAAATGAGAATTTAATAATTTGAAAATCTTTTATTTTAGTAATTTGTCGTGTGATTCATCACTGCTATTTTCCAACAGTGTTGGAAAGTCATGAGGAAGTCAAAAGATACAAAGTAGTCCAACAGTGCCTGTTCAAACTCTTACTTCTTAATGACATGAGTAAATTTCCCTGAATTTAGGGTGGGTGCGTGGCCAAAACACAGCTGATGTTTTGTTTGGAGAGGAGTAGAAACTCTTGCCTCTAGTACTATAATAAGCTTGATCTTCAAAATAACATAATCTGCCTTCCGTGAAACTGGAAAATGCAGAGGTCAATGAGTTATTAGGAACTTATTTTAGAGTGGTGCAATAACAATATATAGGAGGAGCTACCAGATCAGTATATAGTCTTTTGTGATGTGTAATGGAGGTGGGGAGAAATCTGATTAGTTTTGCTTTTCTCTGTCCTGAAAACACCCACATATTGCTTATGTGTTCTGATAATACCAATTATAAATTTTTATATGCATTAGTTTCAACTACTATACCTCAAGGAGATGCTCTGTATTTCTATTCAGATTTTGTATCCATTTATTGGACAAGAAGTATTGAGTTGTGTTATTTATGTGATTGTAAACAACTTGAGAGTGAGAAAATAAGGTACAAAACTTTTTCCTTCTGCTGTTTAAGTTGATTCTGATTGTTGTAGCAGGGCATGCTTTCTATGCTTAATTACAAGCAAAGATACTTAATAATTGACATGTATTTAACCTTTTGTGTAACCTGTTTAAATGAAACAATTAAGTTGGTTTTTTTTTTTTGACAGGTTATTAAGAAAATGGGGCAGTACCTGAAGATGAATATAACCGTACCAGAAGAATACATACAGGGTTTTACACGAGCCAATAATACATTCCTTTATCAGTTAGTTTTTGATCCTGTCAACAGAAAATTAGTTCCTCTGAATTCATATGGGGATGATATTGATCCAGAAACGCTGATTTATGCAGGGCGGTATCCTTTGTGTTGAAACAGCAGAGTGGGGAAATAAGAGTGAGAAGATGTACTATCTTACACTTTTCATTGCATCTTTGGTGTACCTGTATTTTTCATTGTGTCTCTGCTGTTGACTAAATCCTTGCTTTTCTGCAATCTGGAAGTGGCCTTAAAGATCATCTAGTTCCAACCTCCCTGCTGTGGACACTGTTGTCAACCACTAAATCAGGCTGCCCAGGGCCCCATCCAACCTGGCCTTGAATGCCTGCAGGGATGGGGCATCCACGACTTCTCTGGGCAACCTGTTCCAGTGCCTTACCACCCTCTGGGTGAAAAATTTCTTCCTAATATCTAACCTAAATCTCCCCTCTCTTAGTTTAAAATTTCCCCTTTTCCTATCACTACCTGCCCATGTAAAAAGACACTCTCCCTCCTGTTTATAAGCTCAAGTACTGTAAGGATGCAATGAGGTGTCCCCTGAGCCTTCTCTTCTCCAAGCTGATTCTCAGAGTCATTTTACTACTATCTTTGATTTCTGCCTGTTAAGTGTACTATAATCTCTGACAGTTTAATTCTTGCAATCTGTGTTCAACTCATTCCCTAATCTAAGCATTTCCTGTTTTACCAGATATCTCTTCCTATAGAACAAGTAACACTTTTCCACATTTGTGCAGCATAAATTTCAGCGTGGAAGATTAGGAAAATAAAGAGAAGGGACTGTTGAAGTAGTTACTAGCTTTGTATGTTCTTCAAGCTACCTAATCTCTGGTATTTCCAGAAATCAGGAAGGAAAAAGATGGTAACTTTCC